CAAGTCATCGAACAGCAGGTGACAGACAGACGATGACACCAATCAACAATAATCCATCGTTGAAAGATGATTTATATCTACAAGATGTGCCGAAGAAAAAACAACAATCAACATGTAGTATATCAATACAAAGTCAAGTGTCAAATCGACACCGCAAGATGTCGATACGATACATTGATAATTAAACAATCAACAGATACCATCAATGATGAAACAGACTTCAATAACAAGATAAGTTTAGAAGATAATGATGAACCATATAGCTCAATACATATATTGTCAAGGATGGATATTCTACTTCGCGGCGAAATGTGATCAACAACGTTGAACACTCATTTAAAAAAGAAAAGATAAACACATTTTGTTTGCCAACTACTCTTCGCTTCTTTCTCGTTTCGATTTTTTTTGTCGCGTTCTACGTAATCACACATAGTTCGTTCTCTTTGTATCTATTTTTGTATTTCAATTAGGTGATTAGAAATTATTTTTTCTTCTTTTTTCTTTTATGCCGCTTCTGCATACGCGTATGTTCCTGTAATGTATGGTTGATTCCATCGAATAGGCGACACGCTTACATTGACTTCTTCAAAATCGATTTTCAAGTTTGAAGTCGTGTAGATCATAGTCGATTTAATTGCTACAATAACAAAAGATCCGCTATAAATTCTAATGTTGAAGAGATTAATGATTGACAAGATTAGTGCAAAAAAACAGCTAATATAATATAAAAACACTGTAAATAAAGCTAATATGTCCATCATGATATATCGTTATGGCAGAATTTGGGTGCACACTGACATAGAAGGTTTTGTAGAGCAAACCTTCCTCTGCACATTCATATAAAAAACTTTTCAGAGAAGTACCAAACAGGGGTTATTTCAGCAGGAAAACATTATTATAATTAATCTAGGTGTAATTGCACGCTAAAAATTTTCGTGCTGGAATAACCCCTGTTTGATACCACCTGGAAAGTGTTATACATGGGCATGTGGAGCAAATTTTCCTCTACAAAATCTTTGATGTCACTATGTACCCGAATTTTGCATTAATAATATGTGATGATAGATATTTTAGCTTTATTTACAGTGTTGGTATATAATATTAGCCATTCTTTGTATTCATCTTGTCTATCATTAATCTCTTCAACATTAAAATTTATAGCGGCACTTTGGTTACCACAGTAAGTAAATTGATTATGTTCTACCCGTTTTCAAACATGAACGTCGATTTTGAAGAACTCGATGTGAATGTGTCACATATGCAGTGAAATCATTGATATGTATTATTTATTTAATAAATTTGTTTTTATATAAAGTCTAGTACAATTGGAATTATATCTTTGGATATTTTATTTTTTATAACGTTACGTTTTTATCTATGAGCCTACTATATATAGGAAGAAAGCTAGGAACACACTGTATTTTTTGGTATATTTACATGGAAAATCAACTGCAGTTTAAAATATACAAAGTGTATTAGAAAAAAAAGTGATATTTGTTTTTACTACAATATGGGATGTCCATAATGTTGTGACATTTTTTATTTCGCATATATCTTGGCTTAGGCAAATGAGACAATCATGCATTGAAATATCTCATTTTCTCAAGTCGAGATATCTTGTAGAACAAAAAAGTCTTTCAACATTTTCAGTATGATGGGAAGTGACACTACTATGTGAGTTGTTTATTTGGAGCATAAGAAAAAAAACCATTAGAACAGATAACAAGGAATTCGATCATACAGCTTTTGTTGAGCTTTTCATAGCACATCTTTTTAAAAAAAAAGATTCAAGGTTCTCTAATTTGTCTAAGCCAAGATATGTGCGAAATAAAAAAATGCCACAACACTGGACATTCCGTATTGTAGTAAAAACAAATGTCACTTTTTTTTCTAATACACTTTTTACATTTTGAACTGCTTTTGGTGTTTCATGTAAATATACCACAGGATACAATACGTTCTGGACTTTCTTCTCTCTACATATGGTTGATTAATAGATAAAAAATATATAGTAATAAAAAATAAAAAATAAGATATAATCTCAATTGTCCTCGACTGTAATACATATCCCCTAGATCTCTAACTAACTACGTGTAAGTTACTGTTATTGAGATCATTTTTAATTATTTTTTGATAAGAGAAAATTTCTCGTTAAGGAGAACACTATCTAGTAACAGAAGATATATGTGTTCGATATATGTATAATTCAATTATCTTGTGAAGCACTTTTTCTATGAGAAAGAGTACCAGCTATAATGATATTATTAATTAACAGTGGGGCACTTGCTAAATGAATATCGTTGTCTTCCACTTCCTATGTAATAGTAATTAAAAGAGTCATTTGTAATAGCTGTTTAAGAAATCGAATTTCGAAATAAAATGATGTGTTATGTTTGATGATTGCTCGATTACTTTAAAAATTTTGCATGTGAGAGACGAAACTCAAAGACTTGTAAGAAAACTTGAGAAGCGATATCATTCCATCTAGGCATTATTATCTTTATCATCACATGCAGGTTGTTTTTGTCCATACTTTTCGTCACTCAACCATGACAGGGTGATGTGTCAGTTGTCTCTTAATTATTTAAGGTTAATTTTCTTTTTCGTTCTTCATTTAAACTACGGCCTAGGATTGTCTATACAATTATATTTGCTTGCGAATAATATTCGACAACCGTCATTTCCTTGTTTTTGCACGTGAGTTTAACGCAAATTTCGTTTCATAATGACGAGGCTTTTTTTCTAATCATAATATGTCTTAAGCGAGGATAGGTATTAAGTATTGTCATTATTGACTTGGATAATTCGCGAAAAAACATTTATAACAAATGTGGATTTGACACTATAAAAATTTGATTTATAGTAATGAAGGAATATTTTAGTCGTATAGATAGTACCGTAAGACATTGTTTTCTAGTCAAACGTGTTTCCGTTATTGACAATACTTTAAAATTTATCGCTTTATCATTCAGTTTCAATGTTCTCTGTTCAGGACGTTTCAATTAATTTAGAGACGAAGTATATCTGTACTAATTTAAGTCAATGATACGCTTTCTTATATCTACACCATAAGTCATTATAGTGGTAAGAATAATCGAAATATTTTGTCAAATGTCCCCCATCGTAGAATGTGTATGCATTTTTTTTTCTATGGAAAGTATCTTATATCTTCGAAGCGAATATAAGATTTGAATATGGAAATTTCATTAAAAGTGTTAAGAATACCGTTTGGAATAGCAAAATTGTAGACCAAATGGATTCTAATATTGCGCTCGTTTGTCATCATTTTATATTTTTTGCACTAGTTAAAAGATTTTGACGGATAAAAGGTTCTACATCTTGTCTTTTTAGTTTCAAAGAAAATGTTTCATACAATTCAACGACAATTAAAATTGTTTCTGCTAATCATATGTTACTGTTGCAATTTTATAAGTGAGTTAATGAATTTCTTCGGAAAAGAAAACATAATGAATATTAGTTGGAGGTCCTGATCAACTTCGTTTGTTAAAGCATCTATTGGCTGGTAATGAATTCAAACAAATAGCACGACCTGTTCAAAATGAGTCTCACACCTTATCTGTCACCATAAATTTAGCTTTACAACAAATCATTAATTTTGTAAGTGAGATTAAATACATATTTTTCATGTTTTTATCAATCTTGAAAACATAAATAGGATGGAAAGAACGAAGCTATTGTTATTAGCGGTTGGATGACTATCGTATGTATGCTTAGTTATAATTAGGGATGCAACGATGATAGTTAGGCTAGCATCAGGCTATGCTGGCTTAGGGTGTACTTGTTTTTTTTGCGAAATTCTGAGTTTGATTCTCTTTGAAAAAGCTTCTTTTATGAAAACTTGTATTTCTATAAAAAAAATTGTTGTTTCACTAAAAAATTATTTTCTTCGTCGAAGGTTTTTTTTTGTGAACAAATGATTTCTTGTTACTGAAAAACGCTCTTTGAAAAACAACATGTCTGCAAAAAATTAAGAATCTAACTTCGAGAAATCAATGACAGATTCGGATTTCTCTACTCCAGTTGCCTTTGGCTTAACTTGATAAAAAAGAAATATTTTTTCCGTAAAAACAAAGCCTTTTCCTGAACAAAAAAAATCTAGCTCAAAATTTTGAAAAATCGACTGCACCCTAAGCCATTATTGGTCGGTATAAACTATTATTAGTCCAATACCGGTTAATCATGGCGCTTGTCCCGATCAGAACCAGTAACCAATGAACTGGGAGCCACTTATCGTCACCGTTGCATGCCTAACTATAATATCTCCTAATATTATTAATATATTTCTGTATAGAAATGGAATGATTATAGTTTAAGATGGAAACCGGAAGAGTTTGGCAATATTCAAACATTAAGAATACCAAGTACACAAATTTGGACACCCGACATTTTCCTATATAACACGTTATTATTTTTCAAAGCGTAAAGATCTTAAAAAAAGATGTTTGTTTTTTTTCTTTTAAGTGCCGATGAAAAGTTTGATACCACAGTAAAAGTCAATGCCGTTGTACAACATAATGGTGATATACTATATGTTCCACCAGTACTATTCAAATCAAATTGTCCATTTAATATTGCCTTATTTCCATTTGTAAGTACCAAAAAAATATGTCAGTTATATTGTACTTCTTTCTTGATGTTTGTCTTTTTTTGGACACACAATATTGTACGTTGAAATTTGGATCTTGGACATATGATGATGCTGGTATGTTGTTGAATCATTCTTTTTCTTGAATGAAATGCCAAATGTTTCTGCATGTTATATACATTTCTATTACTTAGGAGTCAATCTGACGGTAGAAAGTAACCAAGGTCAATTAGATGCATACGTCAAAAGTGCCGAATGGGATTTAGAAGGTAGTTAATATGAGTTATGTACAATTTATTCTATTCATCCTATTTTAGATTTCTCTGCAACGAATAATGGCACCAAATACGACTGTTGTCCAAGTGTGTACCCATACGTATTATACACTATTCGAATGCGTCGACGTTCTCTTTATTACTTTACAAATATCGTCGGTAATAAAATATAAATTACAACATTTTTTTCTAATCTTTGCATTAATATTAATCTTTTCTTCGTTTCATAGTACCTTGTTTTCTTATCAGTTGTATGACACTACTTGGATTTTTATTATCACCGGATAGTGGTGAAAAATTAACCTTGCGTGAGTTAGAATTTGATGATAAAAGAATTGTTCTTATACATTTTAAATCTTCAGAGATAACAACTCTTCTAAGTGTTGTTATGTTCAGTTTACTTCTATCGGATATTCTGCCACCAAGTTCAACTGCTATACCGATTATTACTGTTTATTTCATGTGTGTTATGATCTTGTCAGCAGTATCAGTTGTTGCATCAGTATTAATATTATCACTTCATAATCGAAACTCTAGTAATTATACAATGCCATCATGGGTAAATCATATTTCAAAATGTATAAATCACATGACTTTAAAAATCCTTTTAGGTTCGTAAGTATATTTGTAACTATTTGGCGTGGCTATTATGTATGAATCGACCTAATCATGATTTGACTTGGCATTCGATTCGTCGTCGATGGGCCTCTTCACAACAAGAATCGAATACTATAAATGGATCGATGAATTATCATCATTTTAAGATTCCTTCTGAACCATTATTGAACAATTCACTCGAGTTGTTATCAACCAATGATATAAATATCGACAAGAAACCTTTAGAATTCGCTGTACCTCCAGCAACGGAAATTCATGGTTCTCGTTATCAGCAAAATGCATCTAATGAATTGTATACATGTGATACAGAAATGAATCGTTCTGAGTTACGTTTTATTATTTCTCAACTTGCTATCCTTGTTAATTATTCTCAACAAAAAGAGAAAGATGATAATGAATCTCAAGATTGGCAATTTGTGTCAATGGTCATGGATCGTCTTTGTTTAGTAGTTTTTGCTATAATCATGCTTCTTTTTACTGCACTTACTTTTCTTAACGTTTAACTATTTTTAACTTTAATTTATTTCTTTTTCATTTGCTACTGAACCAGTTTTTATCTAAACCTTTTCTTTTGCCTCATATATATATGTTTTAATAAACTCTAGATAGAAAATACTAACAATCATATACAAACTATTCAATCAGTGAAATCGAACAGTACTATGTACGAAATGAATCTGAACAGCCTAAAATGAATTAATGATATCTTGTATAATAGCATTTTCTTTAGTTTTCTTTCAATAAACATGAATACTCAACATAGAATAGTACCAATAACAGCTGATATAATTTTGATTTCTAAAAATCTTTTCTTTCAATTCTTTTTATTCTTGTCATCAAATTGAGGACATATATGATTTTTTTTTAAATTTTTGAAAACAGAAATCACACAAAAAGATTATATTTCTAATTTCGCCTACGTAGAATACGATGAAAAAATTAGATCATTTTAATAATTCCACTGTCTTTTCAAAAAGTACACTTCATCAACATTTAATCACTTTGAAATAGCCGAAGTTGAACGGGTTCGTATATTACTTTCTTGCAAGTGTCTCAGCTATTTTTGGTTAGAATATTGGACTGACATTGAACTGATAAATACTATCGTTCAAGTGTTGACTTCCCTTACAACTCTATTAGATGCCTCGGAAGCTCATTTCTCCTACATAGTTAACTGCTTAGTTGCATAAATGGTTAATACGATTATAATTCTTCTGATTTTCTACATTCGAAAAAAGAATCTATGAACAATTAAAAATGAGTGAATATTGAAGACTTGTATGCGATTAAACCTACAGTTATTTTATGTCGAACCCCAATTTACTGAATGTAACATATTCAGTTTGAAAATCAAGTTCTTACTTGGAATTTATCGAAATACTAATGATCCAGACTTCACGTGAACTACTGTAGGTCTAATTGAAGTTCTTTCACATGCAACTATCTTGAATATACTAGTGAAGGTTGGTAATCTTTAGTGATATTCAAAATCAGAAAAATCTGTCAGCGTCAGTCCCAATAATCTAAGAGTTTGGATGTGGGTGAGCATGAAGAAAACTTAACATCCACTCCACATACCGTCAAACACAATGATAAATAGTATATAAAAGATGCACAAAATAGAGTAAAATTATATGAAAGATAGATAGAAAATGCTAACAAAATAAATAGATCTTTACGGTAAATTATAAACAACAAATATTAGGATTATTTTTATAGTTTTCTAAAGGATTGATATTTATCCTTATAACATTATAATAAATTCTACAAATAATTCTTCGTCAATTCATTTTCTTTGTGTTCAAAGATAAGACATGATTATTTCGCTATGAAAGACTTTTATTAACTTTTTTCTAAGATAATGTTTCGCTGCTAAATCAAATTGGTTTATATTAATAGCTCTGCCAGTGAGAAATAGATTCTGCTATTTCGTTCAAAATTTTCATGTGGTTAAAAGTAATTATAAAAAATCAGCACGAAATAGGATTATCCGTTACGAAATAGAAATTATTCAAGGATTATTTTGATCTGAACAAAGAATCATTGAGACAATTTTTCACTATTGAAAAGAGTTTAACAAGAAAATTGTATGTGCATATTCGATACAATAGATTCAAATGATCCGATAAGCCCATCTTAAACAATGTTGAGAGCATACCGATTTAGGTAAGATCTTCACTGTTACCTCATCTTCAGAGTGTCCTTTTTCAATCTATTTCTCTGCACAAAATTTTTAATGCAATCTCTACAAGGTTAGATTGTGAAACATGATGATGAAGCTACCATTGATTGTCATAGGAAGATTGCTTTATTCTATATATTTTGGGACATAGTTCTTCGCCATCCTATTACTTTATCTTCCAGAAATGCAACAAAGAAGTGGTTCACACCCTATAGAAAGTAACTTTATTGATATACAGTCTATGACCATATATCTGTTTCTATCGTGGTCTCTATTAGGGAGAGAGGGTACGGGCAAGTCTAAATTTTGATTCCTATACTTCAACATTCAGTTTAAATCGTGTTTCACAAAATAAGTTTAAGTCTCGATGAGCTAAACTAAGCCGAAAAATGACTATACATGGGTTATCGATTTTTCATTCTGCTCAGTTCATAGTTTTTCCTTAAAAAATGGCGTACCTATTGGCGCCCATGAGCTATTCATCTAATTGAATTGAATAAATTTTTAATACAAGGATGAGTAAGCATATTTTGAGCACTATTATGTTTTGATGTTTTAGTCGAAAAATCAAACATTTTCTAACATAAAAATGTGTTAGCTTTTTCATTTTGTATAATATCATACGTCGATTCTTGCTCTTTCAAAAGAAATTTAATTCATTAGGATATATACTGTTTTGTATGTGATGAGGAATTAGCGCTAGTAGTTGATGAGAAAGTGTCAACGAAGATTGATGATTAAAATCGTTCTGTAGGGACAGAAGTATAATGAGGGCATGAGCATGGGTGTTGGTAAAGAGAAAACTATTCCATACCCACACCCTAACAAAATTAGAGATAAATATATTTAGAAAAGGCTAGTATTTATTTGAGCAATAAAAATATTGGAATGAGCAATAATTAAGACATGATATAGCAATAATTTTTGAGCAATAAGAAAACTAACTTTGAGTAATTTTATAATATTAAATGTACAATAATTAATTCATTAAATAGCAGTAGTAATATCATATTTTAGCAACAGGAAAAAGGAAAAGATATTTTTTGATTTACAATTGACAATATAAAAAAGAAAAATGAAAAATAAATATATTATTGTGTCAATAAAACTTTTTTTGCTTCAGCTGGTCTTCCTCTTTTTCTTTTAGTATCAATATCCACATATTTTGCCTCTGGTGAGGCTTTGCACCCTTACCCTCATCCTGTTATCAAGAGACTAGTTCCATGTCATTGTCACTTTCACTGTCAGAAATATACTGCGTTACGCGTTGTGATTGAGCTATTTATATAAATTATATTTTTTTATTTTATAAGACTGAAAAAATACGGTTTGTATAAATAAATTCTTAACATAAGAATTTTCCCATCCACTGTATTAGAATTGTCCTATTGATCATCTTGAAAATTTCTTTAGGATTATCTTATACTATATATGGAATTTTTCCAACACTTTTGATGTTTATGTAATATCTATCAATGTTCTCTTCTATGGGAGATCCGATATTAAATTCTATTGCCTTCTCAATTTCATTGTTTTTTCTACGTTTTTTCTCATATACCACGTTTCAAATATGTACGAAATAAATCGAACTCACATAAACACATAACAGTAAAAATCATACGATTTACACAAATGAATTCGTATTGCCCTTTTTATGTGAAATTTATTTTTAATTTAAATAAACTATTGCTCATTCACTATAATTATTGCTCATTTCAATTATTTTATTGCTCAATTAAAGAGAAGTCAGTCCCATACGTATTTTTGTTTTCCTTTGTTCTTAATATATTATATTAATTTCGTATTTTAAGCTCATGCAAAAGTACGTTTTTTCAATTTAATCCTGAAAATAAATTCATATCGTTTATAAAAATGTTCAAGCAAACAATTTTCTCTCTTTTAGTATTCAAATTTCATTCAAATTCATATGAATTGTTAACATCGATCTATTTATTTAAGGTATTTTCATACATGATATTATCACATGAAGCATTAAATCGTGAACGTGATTGGTTTGAATCATCTGAATCATTGTTATATGATGGTGTGAGTGATTATGAAAATACAGAAAAAATTGTACGTGAATTACTTTTCACATTAATTCGTGAAACATTATTAATTAGAATTTGTTGGCTAACACAAATGTATACATTTCTAAGTGATCATTTTGCTAATCATGTTAAATCGGCGCTACTCAATACAAAATTTTCTCATTTAAAAGAATATGTCAAAGTATTAAGTTTAGTTGATCCTGAATATCATACAGTTACACGTAAATTTACTCGTAATGTTGTCACAGCTATTAAACATGCAAGATATGCTAAAATGGTTTATGCTGTTCATAATGTATGCGGTGCTTTACAAAATCTTGTCAGTTCATTTTCACATATGGATACAGTTATTACCCAAAATACCAATGATGATGACAATCATGATAGCGATGGTTTTGAAAACACAGTACTTAAAGCTGCTCAGAATAGTATACCGAAAATAGCAACTGGTGTCAATTCTGTTGCAGCTATTGCAACTTCAGCTATTACTGCTGTTACAGGTCATAAAAACCCACTTGATTTAATTTATGTAACAGGGAAATTTCTTACAAATGATTGTAATCCACAGACAGTGAATTATTTACTACAAACACGTGATAAAGTTAATGAATTGTATACGGCTGTGTGTGTTGAACTTCTTCATGATATTACGCCAATTTTTTTTGCTAATCGTGTTCTCGAAATTCAACAATATAAATCAATACCAATTGAAAATTCTTTACAAAATCGTCTAAATCGTATGTCTGATAAAGATATTCCTAATATTGAATTAGAGAGTAGTCGTCAAAAAGTTCTTCATATTCACGAAAGTATTAAACGACTGAAGAAGCATATGATGCTATTGAAGACGTCATTGCACTTATTAACAATAAAAATATAGAAAATAATATATTTGAAACGAATGATGATACTGATAATGTTAAAAAAAGAATTCAAGCAATACATGAAAAGACACATAATAAACGTTTACGCGATATTGAGAAAAAATTAAACAAAATATGTCAACGAAATAAGAATAAACAAAGACAAATCAATACAATTCAATCTGATAATCAATATTCATTATCATTTAATGTTATCAATGATAAAAAAGAAATCTTGTTCGATTCTACTCAAGATGAAGATAATAGTGATGATGAAACAAATGAATTTTGAAGATGAACATAAACTTATGAGATATGATGATAAAACATCAAATGAAACATATTTACTTGGTATTTTTAAAAAACATGATCAAGAAGATCTCGAACTAGGTTTTCTCAATGGTGACTCATTCAAGGCTGATGTCAAATTTGTCGAACGAAGACAAAAACAACAGCAACAATTTACTTTAATGACTACTATAGCTTCAAAAGTACCAGTGTTTGAAATGTTTTAGAACAAATATCATCCATTCTTATAAGTACAAATTCCATACTTCGACAACGTGAAGAAAGTTCGTGTAATACCATTTCCGAAGATGCAGACGATCAACATTAATTAGTGTAAAATGAGAACAATGATGATTAAAATGATAAGAGAAAAAGTCACAAGTATGTTGTCATGACAAGAGAATATCATTTGACTATTTATGGAAATAGTTATTATTAATTTTAATCCTAAGAAAATTGATCTTTATATAAATCGAATGGATATACTACATAGAATAGGTAACTGTTTAATAGTATGATTAATCATTCTTTTGATATTTATCGGAAAATCTAAAGTTCTTAATTTGAAAAACTACATTATTTTAATGACAAGTAAATTCATTCGTAATTGTTAATTCTGCATCTTTCTACTTATATTTTTTTGTCGAAAATTCAAACTAAAAAGATGTTAATCTTTTGTCAATCTTCTCAATCTATCTAAGGTCATATACTATATCTGCATGTTTGTATGAGAAAAATATAGACAAAACGTCGGTTACCTATTTTTTTGTGCAATACATATTTTCAACTATTTGTTGTGCAATATTTCTGATTTTTCTTCGACTAAACTCTTTCATCTCATTTCACATGCTCAATATTATTGTCTTTCAGGTATAAGAAAACAACGATTTCAGGATTTATTGCTTGAAATGTTGATTTACCAGAGAAAAAAATGTTTCGCAATGCTAGATAACCTTCATCATTCTATTTCTAAAAAGAAACTTAGCAAAATTTATCTGTTTATGTTAGTCAATTAGTGCTTTATACCACTATTCTTTTTGTTTTGGTTGAGAATTTCATAAAAGAAAATCTGTATTCTATTGCAGTAACCTATTGTATGATGAGAGTATCGACAAACAGATGAGCAATTTGTATCGAAAGTCAATACAAATTGATCAAACAAAGGCATAGCATTGCGTTCTACTTTATTCATTGTATGTAGTTCTTCCTTGAAGTCATAACGTTTTTCATTATTGAATCGAGTTCAACATTTATTGCACAATCTACACGTTTAATCAAGTAAGATATTGATGCATGCATTCTTTATAATTATTCAATCCGTTCAATTTTAATTTCTTGAACATGTTTTTCTTTTCATTCCTAGATTCATAATGGGCTTTATTATATATAAACAGGAACTTTTTCAAATGAAATCTAATCCATTATCTTTTCCAATAATCAAAAGTTATAATTAAATTTTAATACATAAGATCATGTCAACATCATTTATATTAATTAAGAAATCAAAACAACAACGTCTTTTTATTCCTTTTTTTTACAGTTATCGTTTGATTGAAGCATTTAATGTTTATTTTTCACGATGTAAGATTTTTCATTCTCGATTGCAGTTTACTTCTTGGGAATACGTAATAAACTTGATATAATGGAACTGATATGAGAGTAGTGGCATAACTTACAGATGAATCAGCTTGGTCGACATTCGGTTATAGAAATATTTTGATTTTAACCGGATCAGAAAAGAATCTTGTCCAATATGTCATGCTCCTCAGAACCGAAATTTTACAAGATGGATTATCATTTTGCATATTTATGATAATTAAGACTAGTTCTTTTTTGTTTGATTTAGCACTTTACGAGTTGTTTAAGTTGAAGTTTCTTTGAGGAAAAATGACTAACTTTGAAAAAAAAAGAGGCGTAGTGAAACTTCCAGAGAAGCGAGATCTCATTGGCCCATCTGTTAAATATATTAGTGACTCGATCATTAGTTCATAGAATTTGGTAGAACTTGTTCAATCAATAGTTTGAAATGTGTCATAATGATACGTGTAATGCCATTGTATTCTTTATAAGCTACTTTAGTCTTACAGCTATGGCAGCAATTTCATCTGAAAGAAAAAACATATTCTTTAATGTACAGTTGACTTCATGTGTTGCATATTTTTCGTTACAAAACTCAACCGATTCTTGTCGAAAAGGTGGAAGAAGGTTGATTACTGATGAAATCAATTTCCTCGAGAAATTTAGTTCTTCTAATATATCAAACTCTCATACAAGGTGACTGAAAGTGTCTTTTCCTGGAATTAGTCCTATAGTATTTGCTTATCCCGGGACCAGACTAGTTGAAATAGTCAATGACCGTTTCATGTTCACAGAATCTGACTGATAAGGATGCAAATTTCGGACATGTATATACGTTTTCACGTCATCCACACTTGCACTTACACCCGTGTCATTGATTTCATAGATAATATGTATCACATAAAACTAACTACAAAATGTAATATTTCAACGAATATATTCATTTTATTATCATAATGAATACATATAAACTTTCGAATCACTCCAATCAAGTCATCGTCAGACAGAAATAACTACAGTCTAAGATAAATTATAACATATAAGATAAACACATTTTATTGTTTTTCTTTTCCAATTTTGTTTATCTTGTACTAAGTTCGTTGTCACTTAAATCGATTTTAAATCTTAATAATAACCCAGAGATTGACTAATGATAATTATTAGTGCTATGATGAGTGCATGATCTTCATTACCATCGATTTCGGCTTCATAGGCGTCAGCCACAGTGTCATACTTTCTGCTTACAGTTGCCACTATATGCCCTTCTTTTATCAATATGAATAAGCGACCTAACAAATCCAGTGCTTCCAATTTGTATTCACCATAGACTGAATCGACGGAAAATGTCTCATGCAATGAAAATTTCTTCTTAACTAATGCTAATTGGCGACCCGCATCATCATTACGTGTTGACAATATTTTGTATGTTGGATTTAAATGAAGCAATTCTTCTTCAATCTTTACCAGGCCACTAAAAGTAGAAATTGTATGCTTTCAGAAATAACATAAGGCAAAAGAGAATACTGCTTCAAACCAACTCGACAAAATTTGTACTACATTAGTAAATCGAGACAATAGGATTCTATAGTATACAATTAGAAAAATTTGTGGTTCATTCATCGAATCTATCACATTGATGAGACACTAGATCAGAAAAAATCCATCGTTACTCTTCGTTAATAGATAATGTCTTTGTAGCAATGGTGACTAAATGAGTCAATGATTAGTCTCAAGCGAGCTAAATGAACGAGAATAAAAAGAAGATGTCAAGTGCAAGTTAATCTTGATATAATTAACATGTCAGTCAAACAAATGAGCTAATATCATCGATATGATATAATTATTTAAGATGTAAATTCTATCGCTGTTGACAAATATTTTCAAAAAAAAATGTTAATAGATTTACTTCTTAGCTGTATATCGCACATGGAATTTCAATCAAGATCTAACGAATTGAAAGATTCTATCTGAAATACCATAACAATGTACTTTTATCGATTATCCGAAAAATAAAACAAAAGAATATATTACCATGCAGACTATTCATGTGTGCGTAGTCATTCGTTTTCTCTCAATTTCAATATTGTTAGCCACATTTTCAGCAGACAACGAATAGATCAATTGATATTCAACTAGATTTTTTTCTGTCCATATACCAAATAAAATGTGAAGCTGTTAGTATTCTATTCTGTAATATTTTCTTATGCCACTCTTCAGTTTGTTACTTGTGGTTCTATCTGTCACACGAGAAGCATCTGAAAAATTATAGATGTCTCATTTGTCAAAGGAATACTTTAGTGGTGTCAATAAATACGGTGATTATTCGATAATCTATAGAGCTGGCAAGTATTAAGAAGATCGGATTCTCTAATTAAGTTTTATAAATATCGAGCAATAATCACTAGATAATTTGATATACTGACAATACATGTCTCTGAGTTGTTCGAATGGTATTTTTGCTAATTTGGAGCTCTTTCCTATAAGATATTTTATTAATAAAATATGCATGAGCAGCTTAAAGTTTCATTCAACTGACCAGGCTCATTATTCGAGAGTAAAATAAGTTTTCATAGAAAACAATAGTTTGAAAGACAACATAGAACCGATAAATGAACTCACTTTCCAGTCATATCTTCCAAAATCATATTATCACCCATTGTTAACAATTTTGATCGAACGATGAAGACATCTTGATCCAATTCGTCTTTGACCTTGTAATTATCACGCAAAGAGAATATCTTCTCGCGAATTTCATAACGACGAGTAGATTTTGCATCATCCAAAGGATCGGTCACTAAATATGCACGAATCATGATCAGAAATATCCGATGGCAATGAACGATTATACTATGGTTGAAAAAATCTCAAACATTTACTATTATAATAGTATTCAGGCTTTGTCTATGCGAAATATCAAACTCTGTCGATAACACTCATGATGTCAGATTGATTTTTTTTTATTGTTCTTCGGTGAATGACACTGACACAGAGGCTTTATTTTCAAACTTACCAAACAAAATGAAGAAAGAAAAGTAAAATATCACGGATTTGATCTTTTCATGTTTTATTCCTGTTCGCACACTCTTTTTTTCTTTTGATTTATTGGCGATGAATTATGTTAGTAGATTAAATTCATTTGCAATACTACAAGTTAAGCATGAACAAGGATAAACTTGCTGTCAATAAATATACTCTAGCGTATTTTTTTCCTTTTCACTGCTTTCGAAAACTAACATTGACACTGCAGTTTCACTTGCAAAGGCACAAGTAGACCTTATAACGACTAATTTCTTAGCACGGATTCTATACCAACGACTTTTAAAATTTTTTTTCTCCTTCTTGTCTAACGATAGTATTGTTTGTGAAATATTTGATTACTAATTTCGATTAATGAAACAGACTCTCTATCGAAATAGAGTTTCTTAT